TAGCCAATAAGCTTACAGCTCCTAACATGTTCATTGGTTACCGCGTCGCATTTTGCCGCGCGGTAAGCCTTTCCGCGTCCAGTGTACAGGAGCCATTAACTCCGAATCTACAATAGGGTTTTAAGCCTTAAGCCATAAGAAATGGGCGAATCACAGTCGATTATTCTCCTCGAATTCGATTGTAATTGGTCAATTTCTTATGGCTTAAGACTTAAAACACCTATTGTAGATCCGGACTAAGGCTGGAATCAGACTACGCATTGAAGATTGAGATTGAAGATTGAAAAATTCAAATTTGACCAATCGAAACAAAAGGAGATAAATTTTCTTTGTTCTTATTAGTCAAATTTGAATTTTTCAATCTTTAATCTCAATCTTCAATGCGTAGTCTGATTCCGGCCTAAGGCCGGAGTGACCGGAGTATTATGAATCTTTACCAATATGGAAGACTGATAATTTTTATAATGATATCGAAAATGACATTTTTGTAATGCGATTACAAAAACGCTATATTCGCGACGTAGAAAATCCGCTTGAATATTAATGAACAATGAACAGTTTTTCTGTTTCTGAAAAGATTTGCCTTTCCACGTTACAGTTTATCTTTTGCCCATGAAAAACACAAAAAAGCAAACGCATTAATATTAAAATCCTTTGGCAACGAAAAATGCGAGAATTTAGCAAATGTACGATAATTTAAAAAAGCAAATTATTGAAATTAGATACACATTTGATAACAATGCATAGAATCTTAATCAATCTTAACCTATTTATCATTGTTGCCATTAGCAGCACGAAAAAAATCACCAATTCTTTGATACTTCTGTAAGGATATATAAATATATATATATATTACTCAAGTCAACACTGTGAAATTACACACCTTTCAATCCTTAGGTCTGTTCGCATTGCGTGAAATCCCCAAATATTTTTGCACTTAAAATGAGATAGATATATATTTGGCCTTGAAAAGAGAGAAAGCGAAGATGCCGAGTGCCAAAAGTGCAAGCAACGCGAACAGACCTCTTAAGTTTAGCTCAAGGCGGCCTAAAGTCGTTAGGAATCCTCAAGTCGAAGACGGACTATGAATACGACCCTAAGACCGGACTATGGATTCCGTCCTAAAAATCGATTATATCGATTCGAAGTAGACGAAGTTTTTAATCTTGTTAAAAAAAAGAAACGATTCCTTGTAAAGGTTTAAAATGGCACCATCTTGAAAATTGATTTTTCGCAAAATAGATTAATTTGCGAACGAATTTTAGCGTATCGATACGCGCATCGCCTATTCCTACAATATAGACATTCGAATATGGACGAGAATTGCTGAAAAATGGCGGACCAATCAAAACTAGCTGTCTGATGTCGCGATTCTGATTAGAGTCTCTAGAGTCAAGAAGACTAGAACCAGGAGAGTCAACTCGTGCCAATAGCGGTAGTGGGGGTGAGGCAAAAAATGGCGACGGATAACTTCCCCCACTCTTGCGCTTCATTAGTCCTCTCTGTCGCTCTATATAGTTGTCTCTCTATCGTTCTATAATCGTCACTTTGTCGCTCTTATATCGAACTTTCACACAATGCGCAGTGGCACTGCACATTGTGTGAATAACTGCGGACGTTTTTTGACTCACCCCCACCACACGAGTTGATCCTCCTTAGTTCTAGTCTTCTTGTCTAGAGTAAAGAAAATACAATGGGAGTTTGCTGGCCCTGATGTAAATTGTAATTTATAATCTTTCCACCATGGTGCAAGTGTGTACAATGGTGTGTAAGTCGCATACGTAATTGACATAGACGCTGTTACGTTAATTACATATTGTTAATTAAAATGATTCACACATAATTCGGTACAGTTTGCTTATTAAGGACCAATCGTGATGGCATCGAGCAGAAGTACAAGAGAAGTTCTATTATCGCTGGTGGATGATATCGAGTTAATAGCAAAGTAATAGCGAATTTGGTCACTTGCATTACACTAGATCAGTGCATACTGAAAGCTACTTTACATGAAATTAGCAAAGTTAAGTGTAAAAGTATATAAATATTTTAAATGATTAACTATCTACTAATGATTAAATAATATTATCACGTTATTTAACAAAATATATGTGTATCATTTCATTGTCAAGGTTGATTATATTGTATCACCGCATTGAGATATTTTATATAAACCAGCTTTTAATATGCACTGATCCAGTATAGTGGGAGTGATCGAATTCACCATAAGTTGCATTTACTATTAGTAATAAATGTGTCTCGTATTAATTTTTCTAAGTGATATTTTTCTTAATTAAAATAAAAATTTCAAGTTATTTTATATAACGAGTAAAAATATAAATATTTGGAAGAAAATTATAAAAGGGATTTGTAATTAATTCATTAATCCAGGTTTTTCATTTTATACATGCTTTATTTTTTTTGTAATTTAAAATATTTGTTTTCAGGGAGATGATAGAAAACACAATCGCTCAAAAGCCTTCAAAGCTTTCGAGCACAGAGCACGCTCAGTTAACTGAATTGTTAGTTGCCAAGGATAATGAATTAAAGGCGACACTGAAACGGGCCGCTGAGCAGGCTAAAATTAACTTGAAGATGGAGGCATTGAAAGCCGAGGTAGAGAGGCAAGACCAGGATATCCAGCAGCTGCAACGACAATTGAAAGAAGCAGAACAGATTTTGGCTACTGCGATTTATCAAGCAAAACAGAAATTACAATCTATTGCACGTGCCAATAAAAGGCCGGTTCCTTCGGAAGAGCTTATTAAATATGCACATAGAATAAGCGCAACCAATGCAATTTGTGCACCTTTAACATGGCAGCAAGGAGATCCCAGAAGACCATATCCCACAGATCTCGAAATGAGAGTAGGATTTCTAGGACGGTTGAGTGACCCAAGCAATCTACCTTTAAATGGACAGTTACTTGGATCTCATCTAGGAGTACCATCAGATTTACATAGGGCAGGACATCCTGCTGGAGGTAAAATCTTGTGTAGAAGTGTGTGTGTGTGTGTGTGTGCAGGGTAACTGCACTAAAATGGTACTATTTTATGGCCCCCTTGAAACCATACAACTTTTGTCTAAAACATTTTCTTGTAAAATACGAGGGAACGGAAATATTTGGGGTGATAGATTAAAATGGGTCACCTGTATGTATAAACGAGGGGGTAACCGCTAGCTGAAATATTGTCCCACAGATTACATAATTTCATTTGATTTCATTTGATTACAAATAATTTTTTTTACTACATATGAAGTAACTTGGTAAAATATATCTACGATTTTATTTAATATTATACAATTATTTCTCGTAGTTGCATATGTAATTATCGGATTATACATAAAGATTTCATATGAATTTTATAATGATTTCGAGGACTCTGTCCCAAAATTACATTAAGTGGTTACTCCCTCGTGTATATACAGGGTGTTTGATAAGTAACGATGAATATTTCACACAGGGGAAGAATAGATTAAACTGAGAAGAAAAGTCCTCTACTATTTTACAATTTTTGCAATAGTAAACAAGATATTAATTATTAAAAATTGCCAAAAATTGGTCTTCAAAAATTTTTTACTCAAATACTATCAACTTTACAGAAAAACTGCAAGAGACAAAAATTGTTTATTTTCTTATAAAGTTCTGAGAATTTTTTTAGAATTTTTTAATACGTATTTTCTCATGTTGGTAAAAATAAGAAAATGCCAGGATTGGGTAAGTTAACTTTTTTTTTAAATAAGTTAAGTTAAAATTTTTTTTTAACAGTCTTGAAAATTTATCTCAATTAAAATATACAAGTTAATCCATAATGAAATTAATTGAATTAAAAGTTAAGTTAATAAAAAAAGTAATTGAAAAGTTAAAGTTAAATATGATCCGAACGAACAATAAAAAAAAAGAAAAAGTTTGACCATTTTACACAATTTTTCGTATTTTTCCTTTCTCACGGCATATTTATTAAAGAATCTGGTTATTTTTATTCACAAATAACGATTATATAATATAAAAAAAATTACTAAATTATATACTCATTATCCTCTTGCAATGTGTCCGAGGATTAACTTAAAAAAAAAATTAAATTAAAAGAAGCCGAAACCGAAAACGAATATTCGGTTGTTATTCAATTTCGACCGAAAACAAAACTTATAGCGTTTTCGATTTATTGACTCGACCCGACTCCGAGTCAATGATCTGTTCTGTTTAGAAGTTCTGCAAAAGAAGTGCTAAACTGTGTAAGAAATGCAGCTAAAAAGAACAGATTATTGATTCGGAGTCGGGTCGAGTCAGTAAATCGAATACGTTATAAGTCTTACTAGGAGAGAGAGAGGGAGGGGGGAGAGAGAGAAGCTAACGGAGTTACATTTTTTCGACTGGAGTCGAAATCGACATTTTTGAATTTTATAGAGATCATATGATTTTCAGAAATAGATCATGACAAATTTATGTACTCTTTAAAAAACAAGATTTTATTAAAATATCTAACTATAATGATATAATAATATTGCATCCTCAACTTTTAAGGAAATCAAATCACAGTTATTATTAGGATCACATCAAAGTATGTATTCAAATTGTCTTAAGCTTAATCAACGAGTCAATAATTAAAATCAGAACAGTTTTTTGAACGCTCACTGGCGCGTTGCAACTTGTACAGTTTCGATTTACTCACCGAAATTTTCTTTTAATTTCGGCCGAAACCGAAATTAAACCGAAGCCCTGATTTTTTACCGAAACTGATCGAAATCGAAATTTCGGTCGGACTTTTTTTTATAAGAATGAACAGGTTTTTAAGAGGTTTTTGTTGTTTCAGAACCACCTGTTTCGCAATCAAACCAATTTGCCTGGCATCCATCGGGAGAGATTCACATGTCGGTTGGTGGACAGGGCAGCGTGGCTGTGAATACGCATAAACAAGAAACAGAAGACGTTGAAGTTATGTCTACAGACTCTTCGAGTAGCTCTTCTAGTGATTCACAATAGATATTATTTATATCATATCAAGCTGGAAACATAATAGGCAATAGGAAACAGGGAATAACGAGCCGTCTGACCAGAGCTCTGGGGTATAATATTAAACTTATTCCCTATTTTCTGTTTCTATTGCCTGTGCCTATTGTATTTCCAGCTTTAGAAAAAAGTAAAACATTTTTCTTAATAAAACTTAGCTATCTGTATGAAATTGATGTGTATATGTACATATACATACATGTGTGTGTGTGTGTGTGTGTGTGTGTGTGTGTGTGTGTGTGTGTGTGTGTGTGTGTGTGTGTGTGTGTATACACCGCATGTGCGCGTACACACACGCACACGCGCGTGCACACACACATACACATACACACGCGCGCGCGCGGAATAAAATTTTAAACAAACTTTTTCGGCAGCACAAGATTCGAGAATTTTTTAACAGCAAATTCAATTCTTCCTTGACAAATTGGTGCTAGACGGAACTCTTAATCTTAAAAATTAGAGCCACAGTGATTTTTTGAAAAAAAATTGTTATCTCGGCTCCTAATAATCTAAGGGTAACTTTTTTCTTAAATTCGTAGAAAAATGTCAAGTATCGAATACTTCACACGACTATTTGATATGATGCATATTAACGGAATTATTCCATTTTTTTATACGAAAAAAGATACCTATGAACATTTTTATTGCAAAACATTAGTGTAATTTAACTTTTCTCAAAATTTTTGTAGCTCATCCAGAAGGTAATTACATAAAATTGAAGAAAAACTTTGGTTTTTGGGTTTCAAACAATAAAACGATCGCTATCTTGTACACAGTCAACAGTTGTCAGCGGCGAGGTGTCACAAACATCGCTCCATTTTTTAAAGAAAAAATTAATATTTTATGATATAAAAATTGCTTTTAATATTTTAAATGATAAATAAAACAACCCCTAAACCTTTAAATTGGTAATTTTTATAACTGAAAAAAAAATTCCTAAAAATCATGTATTTTTCGACCTCCTAGACGAGATTTCCCCTTAATAATGAATAAATTTGTGAATGAGAAAAATATTACAATTTAAAGAAAATGTTAGTACATATCTACCAAATATATAATATATTTGATATCTTTAAAGTTTAAATTTCATTAATTTGAATAAATCCGTAATTGTATATAGAAAACATATTTTATATAAACATTAATTCAACATTCATTGTTAGAAGTACATTCCAAAAAAATTTTTGGCATGAATTTATGTAACGTGGTGGAAGTGTAATACATTTCAGGATTGGCCTACAACATAAAAAGTAAAAAATATCCGATAAAATAAAAATGTCTTTTAGTATAGAATAATTAACATCTGAATTTTGCACTAACCAGTAAGATTTGTTCGTTGAACTGTGACTTTTTAAATAAAACATTTTCATTGGTAAATGTCAAACCAAATAATTTGCAATCGGCCTGGATTTTACTTATATCTTTATAAAATAAAAGTTTTTGCAATTTCAGTCCTGGAAACGTCAATACTCTGCTATTGTAGCCAGAACTCATGATTTGCAGAACATTTCTGGAATATAATATATTTCTTATTTAAATAATTATTCAGCACAGCTTTTTATAATTATTGAACATTTTTTACATACGCACAATAACAAAAATAAGTAAATACCTTCTGAAGCTCTGCAAATTACAAAAGAATGCACAAGCTAATATCGGGGATAATTGGTCGACCAAATGACGAACACAAACATAATTTCTCAAATACCAAGCAAATGATATCTTTGTGGCTAACTGAATGGCAGGCGACTTTCTGCACATATAACAAAAAATAAATATGTAAAAAATTTAATGTTAGATATTTTTAATGCTTGTAATGCTTGCACGCACGCATGCATCTCGTAAAGTATAAAAGATACGGGAAAATGTTTCTGATAAAAGTTGTATGACTTAGAGGAAGACATAAGACGATACCATTAGTTTGACCTTGGATGGCACTGTCAAGGTCAGGGTAAGATCACTTTGAATTTTTTGAAATGGAATCCTCTATTTTTCATTACATATTTTCGTAGCTTACCTCGAGAGCTCAAAACACTGTTTTTTATAAAGTATTTTTTCATTAAATATTTTTCGATTTATAAGGCTTGAAAGTTACAGTACCGCCTAAGTTAACAGTACTTAAGGTGTCCGATTGACGGCTAAAACCTCTTGAATGTTGTAATCGGCTAAACCTTTTGTATACGATTATAATCTGGACAACATTTATCCAGCTCAAGGTCATTACAGATTGTTCTTATTTTCATTTTTACGTAAAAATAAATTTTTAGTGCAAAAATGAAAATAAGAGGAACAACCTCCTATGGCCTTGATCTTAACAAATGTTATCCAGGTCATAATTCTTAACAATATTCAAGAGGTTTTAGCCATCAGTTGGATACCTTGGGTAATACTAATGTTAGTGGTACTGTAACTTTCAAGTCTTATAAAAAAATACTTTATAATAGTGTTTTGAAAAGCTCTCGAGGTAAGCTACGAGAATATGTAATGAAAAATAAAATATTTCATTTTAAAATTCAAAGTAATCTTGTCCTGACCTTGACAATGCCACTCAAAGTCAATCCAATGGTATCATCTCATGTGCTTCTCGAAGTCATACAACTTTTGTCTGAAACATTTTCTCATATCTTTTATATTTTACGAGATATTTTGATGCAAAAGTTAAAATGGGACACCCTGTACATATATATATACATATATGTGTATATATATGTACATATACAAATACATACATGTAGAAGAGAGTGGTTTAAATCGGACCTATTTGCAGTTTTTGCTCTCTATGACTACGTTTACACCGTGCATTTAGTCCGCGACCTATACGATAGGTGTTTTTGTTTAACTTACAAGATAAACAAGGACACCTATTGTATAGGTCGCGGTCTAAATGCACGGTGTAAACGTAGCCTATAAGGCATAAATAAAGTCCGATCGTAAAAGGTGCCGTTGGAAAGATCATTTAATTCCCTTCAATTTTGCTTTAGATCATTTTGACGTATCTCTCACCTGTGTTGAACTATAATAGAAAATGTAGAAACGCTTTTTCTGGTCCGATTTGGAACCAACAGTTCAAATCGAACACTTCTATAGCCTTTTAGATAGAATTTTAAAATATTTTAATGTATTTTTGTTAGTATTAAGTAAAAATGAGCAATTTAACAAAGATAAAAATTTTATTCAGAAAAAAAATTACTGACAGTTTATATTATAAGAACTGAAATCAATAAAACTCCATTAATCCGAGTCTAATGACTCATGATATTTTACTGATTTAATTCCTTGAATCAAATCTGGCCGATCACCAGTACTATAACCAGGCCTATAAGTTATCTACTGTCCGATTTGGACACCGGGTCTTTTCGAACTTTGGAACAAAATTTACAATAAATCGCAAAAATAATTACAAAATGCTTGATATTTTGGAATTCTACACTGTTTAATTATCTTAAATCAATTACCTTTCAAATTTTTAACATCTTTTAAATAATGATTTACAAGGATTTTCTTTTTTAAAAAAGTTTTCGCACGATATATAGCTAAAAATATATATTTGCGTCTATTCTGTGAATGTTATAACAGAGAACTGTCAAATTGCTATTACATGTTCAGTGTCTTATAAGGACTTTACATTATAAATAATACGCAAATCTGCTTAACCGTATTCATTTAAATTAAAAAGGTCCTATTTGGAACACGGTCCGATTTAGATCACTCTCCCCTATCTATAGTTTGACGGATGACCAAACATTTATCAAGGGGAATGTTCAAGCTTTAATTTGAGATGTGGTTCATTTCGATACGATGATTTTTCGCTGAGATTTATTAAAAATATTTTTAAATAGCGCAATAACTCAGCGAAAAATCATCGTATCGAAATGAACCACATCTCAAATTAAAGCTTGAACATTCCCCTTGATAATCGTGCGATTAAATTTGAATTACATAAAATGTATAATATTACAAAGAGGCGGACGTTAAAGACAGATAGGAAAACAAAATCTTATTCAAATTATTGCGTGGCTCAGGGGAATTGGCTGCCAGGCACAAAAGTGTATGAGTCTTTAAACTCATTGATTTCCAAACAAATCTCTTTTTTGAACATTTTTCTACGATTTTTTTTTTTTTTGACTAAGTTATAGCGTTTTAAAAAAAGTGTTACAAAACGGAAAAAGACAACTTTTTCTTATAAATTCAGTATAACTCAGAAACAAATTATTGTAGGAAATTTTATCAAAATGAAATTAAGTGAATTTCAAATTTTAACTTTCCTTAATTTCACGTAAGTGCGTGCATGTACAATGTATACATGTATCCTGCTCTTGACCCAAGATACTCAGATACCTATTACGTCCACATCGTTGATTGCACAATATTAATAATAGCTTTAATTTTATTACAATAATAAGAACTTACTTTAAATCAGACGAAAGCGTAAGAGCTCTTTTTAAAGCCTCCCAATCTCCAATATGGAGAAGAATATATATAGCTTCCATCTCTGATCGGCTATTATTTAATGCTAATTTTTCGAGATCTTTATGTATTGCTGTATTATCTGTTACATTTTCATTTTGTTGATCATATAATACAAGTAACTGCTTGATACATTCAAACAGATGTACACTATTTATTTTTGCATCGAATTCTGAAATGTCTCTTTCACACAGCCTAAAAAAAGAACCTATTTCTTAGTAATTTTTCAACTTTTTAAAGAGCATTTGATTAACTTGTACCTCTGTGCGGCATATATGTGAAATCTGACAATTGGTTCAAGAAGGAAAATACTTGTAACAATATCGACTCTTTGTATTACAGCATCTTGTCGTACTGACCTCAACCTATCAAATACAAAGTTGTATATCAATACCCAATCTAAATCCGTTCGTGTAATTATCCTGAAATGGTATATATTTTAAATATTATGCATATAAATCTTACGATAAATTATAAATAATGTTTTATTAAATAGATATTCTGATAGCAGTAATGCTTAACAGTAGTAGTTTATGTATTTTTACAAATAGAGATGCAAAATTACTGTCAAATTCAATTTTACAATTACTTGCGGTAAAATTACGGTAAAATGGTAATTTATTGGTAATTTTGATAAAATTTGTTGCTTCTTATAGTTTTATGCGCAAATAGACTGTATTTTCATACTTATGTATTGTATAAAATTATACAATCATTCAATATTCCTAATAGGATCTATCTATCGCTGATAGAATAACAGGGTTATTGACTAAATCTAAATGTACTCTATTGAAAAAAATTACGTCACAAAGTTACATAACGAAATCATGTAATTAAAACATGTAAATCACGCAGTGGATTGTTCCAAATCAGTACGTGATTTTTTAAAATCACGTAATTTGAAAAGTTACATGATATTTTTTTCTTCTATTTCTATCATTTAATTTTATAAGTTTATAAGGTATGAAAAATATAGTTTAAGACTATTGTTGTATTGTACCTGTCACTTTTTGTTTTAAAAATTTTAATAATTTATTTGAAGTTTCTCTAGTAACTACGTACCTACATAGTTTCTTAATTATTATATCAATATGTAGTATCAAAATAAAAATTTAAATTAAATAAAGTGTTTTTAAACTTTTTAACTTAATTACTAAATGTACTCTTATTTCAAATTACTTTTTTTTATAATTTTTTTAAATTTATTACCATTTTACCAGCCTCCATAAATTACTGACTAATTTACGGTAAATTACCGAGTAAATTATTGTAAAATTTGGTCATTTTCATCTCTACTTACAAATGAATCATACTTAAATAGATAGACAAAATTACTTGGTGAACAAGTATTGAACAGTGGATAATAATACATGTGGGGGACGTAACAAATTTGGATCCGTCATAACTTGTCCAGCAGCAGAGCGACTGAAGCATTTTACAATTTTTACTGGATCAGCCTTGGGTCTTTTTGTGTGTTTCGTTCCCTCATCAATTTCATATCTGTGCAACAAACCTTCTCGCTCTCTCCTGAAGTAAATAATTCAAGATTTGAAAAATTATACATTAAATTCTTATTTACATGTTACATATAAAAATACAAGACATACAATTTTTTTTTATAATTATAGCTAGTAATACATGTATCCTGTTTTTAAATGTAAAACAGTAGAAAAATAATATACTATGGCTATACTATGGCTGCTTTCCTTTTAGGAGACACAGTCGACATAAGTGTCGTCCTATCTTAGTCACTCTCTGAATATCAAGAAGAATAGAACGATGCTTGTGTCGATTTGTCATCAAATGGAAAGCAGAGTATATTTACACAGCATCCTTAATCGGGTTTAATAACATTCATAGTTATAAAAGTGGTCAATCACACTCGGTCCATTCGTCCGAGGAACTGCTATGACTGGACAATTTTATAACTACGGATGTTATTAAACCTGACGTTTGTTCGCATCGCTCCAACATGATCCTACCATAGCTCCTACTTAGGCTGCAGTCCACTTGACGCTAAAAACGCTTCAAAACATTCTTTGATTAGTCAATTCGTAAAATTCTTTGTTCTGATTGGTCGCTCAAACGCTTCGAAGCATTTGTAGCGTCAAGTGGACCGCAGTCATACTTATGTTTACACCGTACGACTGATAGCGACCTGACCTATATCGTGACCCAAAGTAGGTCTAGTCACCAACCGTTTACACCGAAAGGGACTTAAAAATTGATTGGGTCACATTTAGTCCACGGTGATCCGAATTAGAGCCATCTATCGTATTTTGTAGAGATTATTTCCATATACAGCATTGTACTCGCCAGAAGGTATACATAGCGCTATATTCAGTCGGGATGACAGATATCTTAACCTCTAAAATCTCGAATTTTAATGCTTAAAATCTCGGTTCGCGAGGCCGACCGCCGCATTTTTGCCAGATTCTTTCATTTTAAGTGAAAACGCGTCGAATGAGCCCAATTTCTTCAAAATCGGAGATGAAGCCCGTATTCTAAATAATTACCATTATTTATATTATTTTGATTAACAAAGGCATTGGTACTTACGAACTTGAATCGCTGTATGAACTTTTTTCCATCTTTTTTTTTAATATTTATGTTCTTTACACAAATCAATTAGTCTTTTCACAGTCTAGAAGTAAATAACAAACCGGTTTAACCTAACTATTCAACAAAACGGCAGTGTCCTACCGAGCAAATAGGCTACGAAGCTTTTAGGTCGGGTTAGTCGTGCGTTTACACCGAGAAAATAGACGACCTATTTTAGGCGCTAAAAAAATCCGGCCTGATCTACAACAGGTCGAATCAGGTATAGTAGTGTTTACAGCGTGCGGCCTAAATAATGTGACCTAAATTAGGTCGAATTTGGGGTATAGGCCGCGGACTAAACGTACGGTGTAAACATAGCCACTCTATCAAGTCCATTGGAGTGACTAAGAATTATGGCAGGAGTATATTGGAACATGTTGGAGCATATAACGCGAACAAATCTCGAGTTTAATAACATCCGTAGTTATGAAATTGTCCAGTCATTAAGCGTGCCGTGTAAATGTTTATGTTGACATTCATGAGAAATTTGAAGCAAGATTCATTGTATATATGTACGTACATATTTCGAAGTTTTGGTTTACGAATTTTCTACATTGCGAAAAAAACTTACGTCAGTCGCTCTTTTTCCGGACACATAGATAGACATCTTCCCGTTATTTGTTCGGTAGTCATAACTGTGCCTTCATTCTCCATTATCTTATTAAAACGAATTAAGGCCATTAAGGGAAGAACCACAAACTTCTATCAGAGAGAAACCTGAGAGAGGACATGACGGCCTAAAATCTGTAACTAAAGTCACTAGATCTATAAAGGTACCTTTTCATGCGGACGCTCAACGCTCATTATCGGCGTCAATATAAGTCACGTGATAAGGTGCCTTTTCATGATGACACTCGACGCTCCTTTTCAGCGTCAAAATAGATCACGTGATCAAAATTGACGCTTGAGGGGCTCCGCACAATAAAAGGAATAAGGAACAGAGAACGGAGAATACGAATTTCAACCTATCAGAAACTGTGTATTCCACAATACATAATTTCTGATAGATTGAAATTCTTATTCTCTGTTCTCTGTTCCTTTTATTGTGCGGAGCCCCTAATATTTATCAATTTCTATCATGTGACTTATGGCTCCTGCACACTGGACGAGGAAATGCTTACCGCGCGGCAAAATGCGATGCGGTAACCAATGAACATGTTAGGAGCTGTAAGCTTATTGGCTATCGCGTCACATTTTGCTGCGCGGCAAGCGTTTCCTCGTCCAGTGTGCAGGAACCATTAAGGCCATCACACGTACAAAAATTTTAGTCGTAATTGTAAGGCCGTAGGCAAATCGGCCAATCACAGTCGAGCGTTTAAAAGTGCGAGATCTTAATTTTGATTGTGATTGGTCGATTTGTTTGCGACCTTACGATTCCGACTAAAATTTTTGTATGTACGTGATAGCCTTTATATTGACGCCGAAAATGAGCGTCGAGCTTCAGCATGAAAAGGTACTCATAGGCCGGTATTCATAGTCGATTCTTATTTCAAGACCGTCTTAAGTAACGTCTTAAGACGCTAATGCGGCCCTCTGATTGGTTCGTGACACCTCAAGGCTGAACTTAAGACGATCTTGAATATAAGATCTGACTATGAATACCGGTCATAGACTAATAGCGTTTTCGAATGGAGTGGGCTTGAATCATATATGTAATACGCCGTCTACAATGAACAGTAGCAGTAGAAACTGTAACCATATCGGGAGTAAGTTGGTTTTGGCCCTTCCTGGGGTGCGTTCCAAAACTCGACTCTATCAACTCCGAGTATCTTTTATCCTTGTTCAACATTCGGTGAAGAACAAGGATAAAAGATACTCGGAGTTGATAGAGTCGAGTTTTGGAACGCACCCAGCTAAGCCATTAATGTGGTTAGTCGATGAACGTTAAATCGATGTTGATTCAACGTCGCTCGATGTCAAATCGATGTTAATTCTATATTGATCGATCATTCACTTGTAGCTAGGAATGTAATGCGTGATCTACAATGGGCAGTAGCAGTAGTGGATTAAGAAGTAGGCGTAGAAATCGATCAATCATGGTTGATTGTTCTCCTCACATTCGATTATGATTGGTTGATTTCTACGCCAACTTCTTAATCCACTACTGCTACTGCCCATTGTAGACCACGCATTACATCCCTACACTGTTACATCGTATTATTTTTGATTAAAGTTGAAGTTATATATATATATATATATCGTACATTATTAGAAATCTTTCCCGTATGTAGCGATCACTACAAAATATATATCTATCTCATTTTAAGTTCAGAAATTTTTTACATAAAATTTTGTTGTTCGTACTGTCTAAATGAATTTAAAAGAGGTTTAAAAGGAATACAAAATAATACAGGTCTCAGATCCACAATATCTGCTTCTATTTTATTCTTAGTTTTCCGTTTTTTTTTAGTGTTCGTCGGTCTTTGTGAAAAAAATGGTAGTATACTACTTTTATACTACTTTTCTATGATGGATGTTCTACTTCACGTATGTACATTGCATCTGGTCACCCTAATTAAGTTAAATTTCTCGATTTTTTAAAAAAAGACAGAATAGAATAAAAGACGCAGCATTAAAAGATTTTTCAATTGTGTTCTAATGAAATAACTTTTTGAAGTGAACCCAACCGCTGTAACAATAAAATGAAAGCATACTTTTTTTATCACGCTTGTTACGTTTACCGAGGAATTCGATCACATTTCGTTCACATTCGGAGAGCTCGACAATGCTCGTTCAGTTAAAATGTCGTCAGATTACTGGCAATTTATGGGAGTAAGATTTTAGGCGGAAACTGTTTCCGTCATGTTGCCTTGTGATTTCTAACAACTTATACGATCGATTTATATAAGAGGGCAATTGTTGCCATTAAGTTGCTCATAAGAGTTAATGGTAATAAAAGTCGGCAATCTAATAGGCAAAATCGGAAGCCGCTTTCTTATTATATAAATAAGAATTGAAGGCAACTTAAGCAAAGCAATTTCAAACAAATTGGTAGCAATCTGCAGACAACTTGCTATCTGAGTGAGTAGTGGTAATAATCATACTTTCTTCAGTTTCAAGAATAATTTTATCGATAATAAAATTTATCGTGCATTTTGTTAACAGCTATACATATTAAGGAGGTTATAGTGACACAATTAAGCGATGATATAATGGTGACAAGAGTTTTACATCATCCTAAAAGATTTGATTGCAAACATTTACACAATTGACCTAAATACATATATATTCTCTCTAAAGAACTGATGAAAAGAATTCATTTAAGCATAATTTTCTTTATATATTTCGTCTTATCTTGTATAATATACTTTAAAGTCTTATTAAAGGAACTTTTCATATCATGTCAGCCATGTTTAATACTCTTGCTAGTATTTTTGCGATATTGACATAAATCGGTCGCGTTTCTCTTATATAATCTAGGACTCTACCTGACAATAGCGGGACCATGGTAGAAGAAGACAGATGAGACAATTCGCATAACGGCAATTCAGAGCAATCAGCTAGCCAATCTTTTGATCCTACTGCGTACATCCCTCAAGTTGTTTCACTTGTCTTCTTCCACCGTGAGCGGGACTCTATTCTCACTCTAATAGTATTTCTAATAGTATATCTAATAGTATTGTATCTGGCAAATAAATAGGTGCCAGTATCTTCAAACAGTGAATCTTTATTTGAACCCCAAACAGCACAAGTGTTTTCTGGGAATAATACTTGTTATATATTTTCTAAACCATGAAATTTAAAAATCACACATCTTACAAAATTTTTACATAAAATATGCTCTTCGAATGTTTAAATAAAAATTATCTATTCCCATTTAAAAAAATCAAATTGATCTTAAGGACCTTAAAAAGATCACTTTTGAAAAAATTTATAATAAAGTCACCCTTTTTTCTCTCCGAACTATTAAACTTTCGTTTCTACATTGAATTTATGTATTCCAATAATAAAATACTTTACTATTACAATTATTGTCATATAACTGTATTTAATAGAATTCGTAAAAGAATCATACAATTACGTACATGTTCAAGTATTACTCAATAATTTTTTGTATTACATCTATTGTATTACATCCACGAAGACTATTACTTCCTAGAACTTTTCAGTATAATGTGTAGTTTAGTCAACAGTCCTAAAAATAAAAAAGGATCAATTAATATAAATAATCAAATGTATTATTGCTAAAAACATGACCACAGTAATAATAATATAGTAAATGGATAACTATACTTGAATTAATTTTAAAAATTATATACTTAAAAATGCAATATGCTGAAACACAAACAATATCAGAATTATCTCAATATTTATAAAAATGACAAGTATTTAAAGCAAATATACTATTACGTATCAATATACCTATATCTACTACATAAAAAATGTATTTTTCTATTACGTACAATACAAAAGCATATTGTAATGTATAAAACATATTGTAATAATTTATTAATACATTTTAAGTTATTTATTTGACTTATATTAAATATGCAAATCAACAATAATATTTCATAAATATAATTACTGTTAAAGCTCCTAAGTAGTCGCTGTAGCCATATTGGATGATATCGTAAAAAATAACAATGAAGTTTCTTGCATGACATGTGAATAAAGAGAATGTTTCAGTAAAACAATCAGATCATTTTTGTAAAAATGGAATAAAACTATCCTTACCTGTTCTTGACAATCAGTAAATAGTCGTAAATTGACATAAAGTGAAACGTACAGTGAAAATAGATTACGCATATGCAAATAAACGCACTTCTCGTGCCATTTACGAAAATATGTTTCGACTATCAGGAGAGAAAGATAGCTTTCTTCTATTTTTATAAAATTTTTAAAGCGATCTCATTATTTTATTTTACTCAAATTCTTTTTAGTAAAATCTCCCGGATCTACAATAAATTTTTAAGGGGATGCTGGATCGACGGCCGAATTTGATCGATAATACAGACTTTTTTAAATTCCAAATTCGATATATATATATATATATATATATAATAGAGATATTTTTCATTAATTTCTTATACTTATTATATATTGTTGTGTCTCGCTCAAACGCATTTATCTATCCTTATCTAACATATTGCAATGCCATCTCTTGGAAGATCAAACACCTACTGCTAGACACAATTATTGCTTTATCATTCCGAGTCTTCGCTCAGCGTTCGTATACACGTCATTTACAGATCAATATAAATCTTTCTTTTGAAGCTTTTAATTTTAGTTTCATAAACTCAGTATTATTTGTGCACGTAATGCGCTGAATTCTGTACTATGTTTGGTCCATACGAGCTATAAAAACTTTTATATTAAGGAAACATCTACGTCAGGTAACAGTTCTACGAGTTGAAAAAAATGTAAGTTTTTAACTTTTTTTTCGATTTTAGTATGAAGTCTATTACAGCACTCCCAAATTTTGCGTCTACTTTAATCCTGTAAAAGGAATTTTGATTTCGTTCAGTAAATTCGGAGATTTATATCAATCTGTAAAATCCTGATAATTTGGCCACTCCAATATCCCCTTAAGTCTTGAATCATAAGAAATGGACGAATCATAATCAATTATTCTCCTCGCATTCGACTGTAATTGGTCAATTTCTTATGGTTTAAGGCTTAAAACACTTATTGTAGATCTAGATTTACTTACAAATGGAGCGCTAGAAACTTCTACGTATCATTTCTCGCTTA